CACTTTACATTTAACGAAGATAAGACCACCAAAGAAAACACATTAACAAAGTGCTCATAGTACATACGAATTAACGATACGACATACGGCTAGGGTGTGTGTGTGTGTGTGTGTGTGTGTGTGTGTGTGTGTGTGTGTGTGTGTGTGTGTGTGTGTAAAACTGGTTATTACTTGAGTGCAGAGCTAGACTAGATGTCCATACGCTCGGCGGCTCAGCGCCGCACGAGCGAGCATAAGCGGTGGCCAGGAAAGGTGTGTGGTTGTGGTGGTTGTGGGGGGGCGTGGAGGGACGGGAGGAGCGAGGGAGAATTCTCTGTGGGTCAATCAGGAAAGACGTTCACATATACAGCTGGTAGACGTAATAAGGTGCTGATGGGACTAAGAGCATCACGTATAAACCCACAACAAACACACAGTATTGTGTAACATGTTCCAACGCGTTCACTGTTTACAGTACATGTAAAACTAAAAAACACTTCCTGGGTTGGCTTACCAATTTGTTTTTGTTTAGTACACAAATTAATCCCCTGATTAGACTTATGATTCTCAGTACAAAAACATGTCCTTGATTACTTTTTGTTTCTTAATCCATAAAAAAACCTTGAATAGCTTTTTTTTATTTTGTTAAGTTGTTTATCACCAACAGAATCGCTTAAGCTGCGGTACAAGGCAGACACGACACTGAATTCGCACCAACTGCTACCTTATCTGGCCGCGTTTTTCTGTCTTAAGTTGCGAGAAAAATCCTTCGAAATTGCTCTCAAATTCTGTCGTATTCAATAGTGTTGTTCTTTCATTACTTAATTGTAAATAGATACGACCTTTTATCTACAGAGGGGGTGGGGGGAAGAAGGTGAGGGGTGAGGTGGGGGGGGAAGGAGGTGACCGGGTGAGGTGGGGGAAGGGGTGACGGTGAGGTGGGGGGAGGGAAGGGGGTGGGTGAGGTGGGGGGGGAGGGAAGGAGGTGACAGGTGAGGTGGGGGAAGGAGGTGACGGGGTGAGGTGGGGGAAGGGGGTGACGGGTGAGGTGGGGGAGGATATTCAAGTACTTTAATTCATCTATACCTTGGAGTGAGGGGGGTGAGGGGGGTGAGGGGGGGAGGGGAGGATCTTCAAGTAATTAACTCATCTCTAACTTAAAAGTCTTAAATCCCAGTCAAGAGGAGAACACATTAAAGTAGGACTCTAGGACTCTCAGGACTGAAGGAGGGATGCTCCTCCTCCCTCAGCCCACACCAACAGCACCGACGCGACGCCCTACAGCCCCACCAAACACCTTCTTCTCATGACGAATTCTTGAGCAATATCCCACCACCACCAGCCGCCGCCGGCCGAGCAGAGCTAGAGCTGGTGGTGGTGAGGAGGAAGGGGTGGTCATGGTCGTGGTGATGGTGGTAGTTATGGTCGTGGTGATGGTGGTAGTGGTGATGGTGGTAGTCATGGTGTGGTGGTGATGGAGGAGGTAGTGGTGGAGGAGGAGGTGGTGGAGGAGGAGGTGGAGGAGGAGGTGGTGGTGGTGATGGAGGAGGTAGTGGAAGAGGTGGAGGAGGTAGTGGTGGTGATGGTGGTGGAGGATGTGGTGGAAGAGGTAGTGGAGGAGGTGGTGGTGGTGGAGATGGTGGAGGAGGTGATGGTGGAGGAGGTGATGGAGGTGGTGGTGGAGGTGGTGGTGATGGAGGAGGTGGTGGTGATGGAGGAGAGGAGGTGGTGGTGGTGGAGATGGAGGAGGTGGTGGTGATGGAAGAGGTAGTGGTGTTGGTGGAGGAGGTAGTGGTGTTGGTGGAGGAGATGGTGGTGGTGGTGGTGAAGGAGGTGGTGGTGATGGAGGAGGTAGTGGAGATAGTGAAGGAGATGGTGGAGGTGGTGGTGATGGAGGTGGTGTTGGTGGAGGAGGTAGTGGAGATAGTGAAGGAGATGGTGGTGGTGGTGGTGAAGGAGGTGGTGGTGATGGAGGAGGTAGTGGAGGAGGTAGTGGAGGCGGCGAGATGTGCTACGTCACTCCCAGAGTCAACCCTTGACCCTCGCGCCGTCTTGGCTCAGGTCCTGGTGTAGGGTCATGGGGCCAAGTCCTGGTTAAGGTCGAGTTCAGGTCCTGGTTAAGGTCAAGGGCTGAGGTCTTGGGTTAAGGTCGAGCTCAGGTTCTGGTTTGGGTTAAGGGGTCAAGTCTTGGTTAATGTCAAGATCTTCAACTTCGGGTTAATGTTAGGGACTCAGGTCATGGGGTTAAAGTTTAGGGCTCAGGTCACGGGGTTAAAGTTAGGTGCTCAGGTCATGGTTAACTTAGGGGGTCAGGTCATGGTTAAGTTAGGTGGTCTCAGGTCATGGGGTTAAAGTCTGGAGCTCAGGTCATGGGGTTAAAGTCTGGAGCTCAGGTCATGATCAGAGTTAGGGGCTCAGGTCATGGTTAAATAGTTGGTAGCTCAGGTCAGGTGTGGGGGATGGGGTTGAGGGAGGTAGTGAGGGGGGAGTTAGGGAGTGAAATCCTGGTTAGCATGGAAGGTCAGTCGATGTTTTTGGTAAGGCCGGGGAGGTCAGACCGAAGAGCAAAGGGGAAGATGACCTTCACAAACATGCAAATCACTGCAGGACTTGTAGTAGAAAACCCCAGGACGCGAGTCAACAACCTCACACCCGACAACCCCCCACCAGAACCCCACAACCCCTTTATATAACCCCTTACACCATTAGAAACGAACCTCAGACCCCTTATATAACCCCTTACACCATTAGACACGAACCTCAGACCCCTTATATAACCCCTTACACCATTAGACACGAACCTCAGACCCCTTATATAACCCCTTACACCATTAGACACGAACCTCAGACCCCTTATATAACCCCTTACACCATTAGACACGAACCTCAGACCCCTTATATAACCCCTTACACCATTAGACACGAACCTCAGACCCCTTATATAACCCCTTACACCATTAGACACGAACCTCAGACCCCTTATATAACCCCTTACACTATTAGATAAGAGCCCCACACCCATTACAACCCTTAGACGAGAACTTACACCCATTAAAACCCCTGAGAACATTAGGCCAAAACCCCATTCCCCTGAAAATTATTCCATGAGAACTTTGCCCTATTAAAAACCACACATCCCAAACCCAACCCCCACCTACCTTTAAACACACACACACACACACACACACACACACACACACACACACACACAAAGGTTATGCAGTTTTTTATGCAAATTTCTGGTCGTGGTATTGGATGGTGGCATGAATTAGGTCCATGCCAGCGGCCCGAGAGAGATAATGAGACAGATTGAGATAATGAGAGAGAGAGAGAGAGAGAATAAAAACCTAACCTAACCCAATCCATTATTGTTTACATGTCTCCGTTAACACTACAAACGAGACTGCTGTTTACACCTGAACAAGGAATAGTTACACCCCAGTTTATTTCACCTCAAGATTAACCAACCGGAATTATGTGTATTATGTGGTATAATCTATGGTGCATATGTGGTACAATTGATGGCGTTATCTGGGACAATCTATGGTGTACTATGGTGGTATAATTTATGGTTCTGTAAGGAGCTATACAGGTATGACACACTGTATGGTACAATACAATACAGTGAAACCTCTATTTAAAGAACTATACTAAAATGAAAGTGTTATATCGAGGATCCGTTAAATATGAAACCTCCATTTAACGGATTATACGGAGAAATTCGTTATATGAAGAGTTCACTATACACAGTTTGTAATACACTGTGTGGTACATGACGCTGTACAATTTGTGATGTTCCTCGTGGTTCAATTAATAGCAGGACAACCGATCATTACTAGTATTTATGGAGGAAATAAATAGCCAGACAATAGCCAAGTACAACTAGTACTTAGCCTCTCCCACACTCACTGGACACACTTCCATCACCAGACAGAGAAGCACTCAAGACTATAGACTCAACACACACACACACACACACACACACACACACACACACACACACTTGAAATCCATACAAGACGACAGGCGACACGGCTATATCGCCCTAAACAGTTACTCTGGGAGGACGGACGGACGTGGGGATGGGGTAGGGTGGGGATGGGGTAGGGTGGGGATGGGGTAGGGTGGGGATGGGGTAGGGTGGGGATGGGGTAGAATGGGGATGGGTTGGGGGAAGAAACTTGACCAAACATCCAAGAACATTAATTAGAATACAGGTACACATTAGTTGAGTCACATAGCTACCTTCTCTACTGAGGGGCAATAAATCCTTCAGATACCAACACCGCGCACGCCAGAGAGAGTCAGGCAGTCAGTCCCCTTTTTGTTGAAGGGCGTATAAGAAGAGGTGGAGGATAAGGAAAAGAAGACGGAAAATGGGGAGGGGAAGGAAGGGGTAGGAGGAGGTTGGAGGAGTAGGAGGAAGAGGTGGAGAAAGGGGGAAAAGTAGGAGGCTGAACAGGAAGAGGAGGACACACGTTACACTAGCAGTAGTAGCGTAAAGTAACAGTACCCGGTGTTGAGGGAAAAACGTGTAGGAGGAAAGAATTGTTAGGAGTAGCGGCAGCGTAACAAGATAGTAGTAGTAGTAGTAGTCGTAGTAGTAGTCGTAGTAGTACCAGCATTACGTCAGGACACGAAGACAGAGAGAGAGAGACATTCCCACTAAGTATCTCCAGCAGACTTGAGGTAAGAGGCTGGGCTGAGGGTATGGTACTGTACTGCACGCGAGGAAGCTATACAGACCCACAGGACCACACCTCATCATGTGTCCCGTTAATGGCTTCTTACTGCAGCCACACCAACACCAGGAATGTGTACAACCACCTACTGTGTAAGCTCTCAGTCTCTCACAGGTTAAATGTTCAAAAAATAATGCAAAGTATGTGGTTCAACATATACTTATGGTCTTGGCCATAAATTATGTGTATAATAAACTTAAAGAGGTATGCAGATGGTAACCTCGGGTACCTGTAATTAATATGGTATTGGAAGGTGAGAAACAGGTGTAGAGGTGTTACCTGAATAATTGGGTGGGGGTGAGGAAGCGCTGTCCATGTTGAGGGCGTGTGATGGTGGGAGAGGAGGCGGCCACCTGCTATATACCCAGCCCACCGCCGCCACCACTTCCCGGGCTGCCTCTCTGTGTCCACAACACGTGCACACCCTCCCTACCCCATCCACCACGTGTTGCGCCCGGCGGCAAGCTGGCTCCCTGCCTCGCTCGCTACCTCGTTACCTAGCTGCCAGGCAGGCAGGCAGGCAGGCGGACAAGCAGGTAGGTGGGTAGTGTGGCTGGCTGGCCGGGCAGGTGCAGGCAGAAGCAGCAGGTAGTGGCCGGAGTGGCGGAGGTTGCCTACTACCAGTGTCCCTGGACGGAGCAGCAGTAAGCGCCACAACAGTACCAGCTCCAGCAGAGGCCGCACACTAGTTGCTAGGCGGGGGTCCTCTGCCCCTCGACCCCCAGCGTGTGTCGGGGCCGGTGGCGGGTCACCCGGCTTGTCTCGGAGGTCAGGTCACCTCTACCCAGGAGGGAGGAGAGACAGGAGAATGCACCTAGAGAGGCACAGTCCCACACCCACGCCTCAACACATCTGATGACCGCTGCCGCCACACACTCCTGGCTTCAGTACGGCACAACACACACTTTCCTCACACTAACTACACACCCACACACCTTCAGCTCACACCAGTAGAACCAACACTAGTAGAGGCCGCTAAACTACAGTACCACACACACACACTGAGTGGCAGGTCCTCCGGAAACCCACACTGGACCTCTACTCTCACTTTCTACTCTTAGTGAAGTCTCCAACGGGACCTCTGACTCTCACGTCATGGAACATAAACCTTCCAGGGTGTGTGTGTGTCACTTACACAGGGTTAATATGCTCTTGAAAAATACATCGACTGACTTCAAATCTACAGTATCTACTTATCACTTATAGTATCTCTATAACAGTTTCCTGAAAAATATAAACAAGAAATGTGATTCGATTATCTTGAGTTTTCTTGATGGGTTATATTACACAACCTAACCTAACCATAACCCAAAAGACACACATACACACGAACCTCAAAACGACATTCATTCCAAACTGAAGGAATTAATTTCATACTGAACATACACAGACCAGAGACATGTTCAAGGGTAAAGTGATGTGATCCCAACAACTACTATGGGAACCACCGAAGGACTTGTATGGTTGTGATTGTGTTAATAAATAAGGCAGGTAAGTGTTAATCAAGGATGTATGAACGACCTAAGGTGATGTAGTGGAAGGGGTGGATGCTTGTTTATGTCACCAGTAAATTAACATTGATCAAGACTGTGTGTAGATGATGGAAGTGGTGAAGTGGTGTTGGTGAGAGGAGAGGAGTGTATTGTGGCGGCGGCGACATGAAGGCAGGGCAGCACCAGGAGCGGCAGCATTCCAGCGTTAGCCTCATCAACTGGCAGACTGGTGCATCAACAGCAAGAGCGCCGCCTGTCCCACGCCTCCCTCTCCACACACCCCCCTCCCCCCAGCCACCCTACCTGCTCCCCCACTCATGTAAATAACATACATTCACGTGGACAGAAATGTGTTTTTCACATACACCAGTTCTTTTTAAAAAGGCAACTAAAAAATCAACTATCCCTTTTCTCTGTTAGTGTCCCTCTTACTTTACGTCTTTCTAAAAAAAATGGTGACACTAATTGTACAAGTTCACTCAAGATATTAATTCTTACACACATGAACGGCTACTGTGTGTCGTACACGTGCATGACACTGTGAGCAAGTTTCTGACACAGTCAGCCAGTAAGTGTTAAGCACCAACAGCCCGCGGTAACAACACCTGCAGTCCCGTATAAACAAACGTTCAAATCGTAGGCTCATCACTTGTGAGTGGTGCGGCGGGCGGGCACGTGGAGGCGGCCGGCATCATAACTCATTCATATGTGTTGCCGCGGTTTTGGTCCATGTAAAAACAACATAGTTGGGTGCACTTTATTGCCAGCTTCATCCTCCTCCTCGGCCACAATCGCCGCCACAGACTTCCAGTCCAGTTCAGTATAGAACTTCTTCCACCATTACCAGGTAATGTGATGACACTTTACGCCCTGGCACCTCAGGCACTGGTGCATTACCACTGCTGCCCTTGTGAGCACTGCTGGGCCTGGCTGGCCAGCAAGGAACCAACACTGTCGTGGCCACGGCGATAAACGTGAGTGGCGTAACGCTAATTATTACATCACTACTCACACTTCACCACCTCCCCCCTCTTGGCCCACACCTAGAGACGTCTAGGCCCAGTAACGTGATGGTCAGGAGGAGGGACATGCCTGATGGCCTCCTGCTGGTGGTTATGAAGGGCAGCAGCAGCACGCTGTCCCGACAGGAATGTCGCCTGCCAACACAATGCAGGTGAGTGAGCACTGATTACCGGCAGGTGGACAGGTGAGGGGCCACGAGGAACTGGGCACCCACCACCTACTGGAAGGAGGCGCAGTGAATGAGTCGCGGGCGTGGATGTGGGCGGCGAGGGGCAAGTGTAAGGGGCGGGGATGCGGGCGGCGACCAATGAATGGGTGGGCCCACACCTGGACGTGCCAGCGGGTGTTGGTTACCGTTGGCGTTGGCCTGTGAGCCCGGGTGGTGTGGGCGTGGTGTTAGGGCGCCCCACCACTACAACTGCGGGTCTTAGTGCCGCCGCTCTTGCTGCGGCTGCGGCTCGTCCTGCTAGTGGCGATGTTGTGCTGGTCAAGGCGACCGCCTCAGCCCGACTAACACCAGCCACGCCATGCCCTCAGCTTTATGGCCCACCCGTGCCCACTGTCAGTGTGTCAGGCTCTGTCTGTGTGTGTGTGTGTGTGTGTGTGTGTGTGTGTGTGTTTATGAATGTTGCTGTGTATATGTTTATGTACCAGATTACGTGTTTGTAAAAATAAATATATATGTGTGTGTGTGAACAATATGCGAATGAGAAGCTATTATGTTTCTTAGCACACATGGGCACGTGCGCGCGTGTACGCAATTTGTTCTTACACATGACACACCAGAGTCCACGTGTGTAAGAAGATAGTTAACAGTAAGGGTGCGAGGTGACGTTATACAGGAGGCGAGGCAGACAGTGTAGTGTACAGTGAGAGTTGTACACGTGTAGTCAGCACATACCTTCCTGTGATGACCCCCCTCTCTCACCAACCCTCCATCCCCTCCCTCACCAACCTTCCATCCCCTCCCTCACCACCAACCCTCTATCCTCCCCCTCACCAACCCTCCACCGCCCCTCACCAACCCCTATCCTCCTTCACCACCCTCCATCCTCCCCCCCTCACCACCCCTTCACCCACCCCTCCAACCCCCCTCCCCCTCCACCCTCACCACCCCTCCAACCCCCCTTCACCCCCTCCAACCCCCTCACCACCCTCCAACCCCCCTTCACCACCCCCTCACCACCCCTCCAACCCCCCCTCACCCCCCAACCCACCCCTCCAACCCCCCTCACCACCTCCAACCCCCCCTTCACCACCCCTCCAACCCCCTTCACCCACCCCCCCTCCACCCACCCCTCCAACCCCTCACCCACCCCTCCAACCCCCCCCTTCACCACCCTCCATCACATTAATAGCGTGTTAATAATAATAACAGAGGTATATATATGAGTTCTGGATACATAAACACATATAATAGAAGGAAACAATAATATCCTTCAGACCCGAGACAACAAGGACTCACTTAACACCGCCAGACTCCGCTTTACCTCACGTGATATTTGTATAGGATTACAACCTCGGGATTAGTAATAGTAACTTTAAAAAATACACAACCACCGGAATGTCGTTAAAGCCCAATAAATTCACATTAATATACAGATAAGGCGGAGGCATCGATATACCTTCCCCATCTCAGCCTGAGCCAGCGTGTGTTACCTGACCCCCGCGGCCACACACGGCTCTCTCATACACACTGTCTGGGTGGGCTGGGTGTAGTGCAGTGTGGTGTAGACTAACCTAGGGCAGCCACCCACCAGTCATCATCATAAGCACGGGGAGATGTTCTCATCACCACCACTTAAACTTTTTTTACAGGGACAGAGAGAGAGAGAGAGATCAATGATAACCTAATGTAATTATTTATATCTTTCCTTGACCAGTATTTATGTTACAAGTGTTACATTACTGGACAACCTCCATAGACAGATAGACTGTACCCATATAAACGATGGGAGACATTATACCCCATAGTACAGGTCCCAACTGTAGGTTTATAAAGGAGCAGCAGGCAACCACAGGGTCACACTCTTCTTCTCCCTGTTCCTACCTAGCGTGTGTTAGTGAGTTTCTCCACGGCCCTACGCCTGGCCCTTCCTACCCTTCTCGTATGAGCATCTAGGTAAGGGAGCAATGACAGGAATGTCGCTCCAGCACTGGCTGTCCCTGCACAGATAATTCACATCGGACCAATTATTCTTTCTGGAACGTGACCATTCTTCCCGAGTAGCCAATAACCGCAGACTTGTACACCCAGAGTAACGTACAGTACAGGGTTATTGTACAAACACTGGGTGTTACTGTACAAGGATTAACACCCGTCTTAAATACATCATAATGGTAACAGAGGTTATCACAAGGTGGCTGTCAGCTAATGCACTGTCACCCCCACCCCCCGCTATCACTGTACCCTTGTCTCGATTAAGAGATAACCCTTATACCAAGCCCCTCACGTCACCGCTAATACCAGTCACCAGCACCCAATACCGTCTCATATGTCACCGATATTTTAAAGGTTCAGCTTCAAGGTTTATACATACAAGGTGGTGCAGAGTATGTACAGTGTAGTGTCTCTCTCTGGCCGGCACTGAACCTGACACACTTCAATCCCCCAACTTACAGACATAAGGGAGGAGGAGGAGGGTAGATCCATTAGGCCGCCACACAGTACACTATGATACAGTGCAGTGTATATATCAACCCTGAAGTGGACCTCAAGAGTATCGGTGAAAAATGAAACGCCAAATGGGGCACACACACACACACACACACACACACACACACACACACACACACACACACACACACACACACACACACACACACACACACACACACACACACACACTCAGGGCCAAGACAACACCCAACACGGCCAAAATACATTACCCAATATCTACTACGACAGCGACCTTCCATTAACCGGTACATAAATCAGTGTTACCTTTTGTAAATCAATTAAATAACGTAGTAATTATTTCGCAGGTAGTAAATGTCAATATTTTCCAGGTGTATATCTGTTAATTGTCACAAAGAGGATATAAACCCCAGCTGTGGACGATTGTAAATTAAACTAAAGTGGTATATATTTACAAGGCGTTTACCTCTCTGAATCATGAAAGTCTCGGGGTATTTACTTCCTAGAAACAAGACACAAACGGGCTACTGAGTATATAACTTTGTACATTAGTGATCCAAAGGTGTACTGTACACATCCCTCCATCACGGTAGTGTGTGTGTGTCAGGGGTTGATGTACGAAGGGGCAGGGCAGTACATATGTGTGTGTGTGTGTGTGTGTGAAGGGTTAGTAAGAAAGGGTCAGGTGTGTTGGGGTAAGGAAGGGGTATAAGGACAGGTGGGGGTATGAGGATGAGGAGTAGGAGGTCAGTACATGTGGGTGAAGGATTGAATAGGAAGGAGTTCAGATGTGTAGGGGCAGGCGGGGGGCAGCAACAGTTTCCTCGGCTCAACAGGTTAACTTATAATGAACCGCCGTCACAGTAATGACCACAGGGACCTCGGGGCTCCTCGTAAAAAAATATCACAAAACGGTCCACTGGAGATTCTTACAAAGAAGGAATCCCTCATTATCACCCCGCTCGGCCATTACGCGTGACTCCCGGCCCCACTCGGCTAAACTGGTGGTAAAAAATTATACTTTCTCGAGCGGGAGGGAAATGACCTTCAATCACAACATATGGGCTACAATCACAACATATGGGCTACAATCACAATATATGGGCTACACGAGTTGCTACTTTCTTTGTGGTGGAGGCAGTGCGGCTAGACTGCACTGCGTTTTTAGGGAGGGAAGGTGTGTGTGTGTGTGTGTGTTTTTCATTACCCGGGAGGAAGATCTGTAAACCACAAACAAACGGTAAAAATGCGTCTCAGGGTCTGCGGTTTACCTTCCCCGACGAACCGGTACCCAATTATACTGTACAGTACTGTGTGTGTGCGTGGAGGGAGGGAGAGGGCCAAGGTTCATCACTCCCTCAGTACCTCAAGTGTCCTATACCAGTAACCTCTTAATCTATAGCCAGACAGGAGGCAAATGTTGTATGAAGAAAATTAATATTATACGTAAAGAGGAAATTTTATATAATACCCAATAAAAGATGTTTGAATGGTAACCAAGGTGGGGTGGGGAGGGGAGTTGGGTGGGTGGCTGGTGAATTCCTTGTTCAACTCACAATCTCATGTTGACCCAGGGTTCTGTTTCTGCCTCAGCACTCTCCCGGAACACTGACAGACACGCCTCGACATGTTTCGCTGGAAGTCGAAACATGAGCTGTCCGCCAGTTGCTTCTGCATCTGAGCATCATTAAACTGCACGTTCTTTTATTCCTACTCCATCGTACCCGGTGTTTACACGTCCTCAAGCATCCCTCACCACCCATAACCAGAGGATTTTTTTTATTATCTTTAAACAAGGATTATAAAGTGCTTCATCTATCTTTCTCTACACAGTCAATGATGTTAATGAAGACGTCAACGAGAGAGAGAGAGAGAGAGTTAGTTTCTCTCTCTCTCTGTTATTTGCAATCACCGAGTCGTATCTCTCGTAAACGCAGCATAAAAATCATCGGCGGCTACGGTCTTCCTCACACACGTTCTGTTTGAGTGAAAAATACGAGGCAGGCGGCAAGTGTTTCCCCACCTCCCCCTTATACACCAGTTAGTAATGATAGCTAGTAAAGCTATCGGAAAAGCACACGAACGGAACAATGGAGGAACTGTATAAGACTAGTTGTTAAGACATATGTTAATTTACCTGTACCTCAAGTTAAAGGAGTAATTCTTCAGTAATGTCACATGAGCTGACGCAAACACACACAATACGGGCGGGAGGCGGCGTCACCTCACGGCCACGATGTATGTGCGTGCAGTCTTATCTATTACGAGATGCAAGTCAGGGGCTGTGGTTATCTATATGTGCTGAGACAAACTGCGTTATGGACAAGCAGATAACAGAGTGCTGGTGCAGGAGAAGCAATTATGCAACATATGACAAGAGTGTTAGAATGTGTTCCGCACGCGCGCGCGCGCACACACACACACACACACACACACACACACACACACACACACACACACACTCTCTCTCTCCTCTCGCTCAGCTGGGTGAGAGATGAAGAGTGTAGGATGAGGTATGACCTAACACTGGTGAGATAAGCGGTGGTGGGCGGCGTCATACGCAGGTGAAGCCAAGCCAGGTGCCGGTATGGGCGAGAAAGATTTGCTACCTCTTCAATGGCTAATATGGGCACGGCAGGACATCCCCAGGTTGAGGACCCACACTAATATGATAATTCCTACACCAAACTCAAAGGAGTGGCCATACACATTCAGTGAAAATGATCACTCAGCCGATGTTAAGTGCCATTTAAAAGATGAGAATAGTCGCCAGTGAGTCTCGTACAAGCACAGTCTGTATATGTATGTGTATTTGTCTACTGGGTGGAGGCCACTG